TTTTGACCCGACATATTTGAGAGTTTTTGAGTTAAACTGTTGTTTTCTTGTTGTTTGCTTGATTCGGGTTGTTTATATAGGAATACCAGTTTTAAACTTACACATTTGAATAGTTTTAAACTTACACATTTTCTCATTTTACTATCCAATTTTGATTTTATGTATCAAAGTTTGGAATTAAAATAATATCTACAACTTCTATAACCCTTACAGTAAAAAAATTTAAAATATTTTTTTATGTTGTTGATTATGTCACTACAAGAATTCATTGAAATATGTTTCACAACTTTGTTTGTGTACCTATAATTCTATCTACCACATATTTAATCTACAAGACTAAACATCTTTTGTTTTTTTAAGAAATGTTTTGATTTCAGATTGCTCATAATGAGCTTTACCTCATCATAGAAATTGACTAATCCATTTTGTTCAAATAGTCATTAAGTATAGAACTCATGTGTAATGTGTAGATGAGCAGAGGTAACGTATTTACATACTTCTTGGTTAAAGTTAAATCGATATTTCATAATATGTGGGTCGGAACCGATACCAAATTTTCAAAATGGTGTAGCCATATACCTATAGCTARGAGAGCTACAACCTTGCAATTTCATTGAAACAAAGTTTACCATTTGCAAGATCACATGAACAATACTTTCGAGTCATTTGTAAGATTATTTCACTTACTTATTAATGTTCCACAATAAGACAACACATCATTTATGAAGCTGACTTTTGGAGACAAATAGTTATGTGAATGTTTTCAAAATCTAAAAGTTTTATGTTTGAACACCATTCTTTCATACATTAAAAAATCAGCTTCAAACATCATTTGAAAAAATGTAAAGATTGTATTGCAATGGATGCCAAATTGATCATTCGCAAGATCAAATCATATTCTTAAAATTCAAATAATACCTTTCAATCATATTTGTAAGATCAAAAATATTATTTCACTTATTTTTTGTTCCACATGTGTTTGTTTCACCATTTGTTTATTCACATGTATTTTTTTACGGACAACCTACTATTTTTAAAGGAAAAATTGAGCAAAATGGTAAACGTGTAAATGTTGTTGGCTTCAACATCTCGTCGTTCAGCTATAGGATTTGATTAATTTTAATACGAGTCAAAGAAGAGTTATGATGAAATTGAAATTGAGGACTAAAGATAATGTCCCAAACTTTGTTTTTGTTCTTTTTCTTTCATGTCTTAGGTGAGAAAGAAGAAAAAATCGTTCAAAATGAAGACCTCGGACGTTTGGACACATGCATGACGCATATATATTCTTCATATAACCATAATTAAATATTCTTCATATAACCATATATATTCATATACATTCTTCATTTAACAAAATTAGGAATGATATGGGGTGGTACCGTTGTAAGCCCACGTCGAATTTTTTTTCCATGCTAATAATCTACACGAAATAAAAAATGTAAATAAAGAATCAATATTGTAAGCATAATTAATCATAGCCAATGCAAACACAACTAGTGACATTCCTTAGTTTAGATTAATCAACCGTGGAAATTAATTATTCTCGTGGGTTTTACCTTAAAGTAATTATAAGCGAACACACACATATGCATTTGCCGGTCCATCAAGAGTTTATTATATCAAGATTTTCCTTAGAGCATTCATATTTGCAAATCTTGAGACCTTATATTGACAATTTAGCGTCTAAAAGGTGGTGGATCATGTTAAGACTTTGGGAATCAAAAACAAGAATAGCTTCAACCGAATTTTTATGTTGCTCACGAGTCACGTAAAACATTCGATATACTTTTGTGCTTATGTTTTGGCTTAAGAAAGATTTCCTTTGAATACTATAGATTTTTGTATACTGTTTTATTCAGTTCCTTTTACCTCTATTGTTGCTTTCTGTTTCAAACTTGATCACAATGTAGGGGGGTTAACACTGATAACCCGTACCGATCCAAACCGAACAAATTTTGTTTCCAGATTTAGAAATGAAACAAAAGTATGAATTTGGTTAAAATAGTTTCATTAATTTGTGTAGGATAGATATTTAAATACCGAATCCAAATATGAATTAAACTCAACCAAACCAAGAAAAACGAATCAAAGTTCTTATTTCATTTGAAATCTGAACCGAAACCGTATCATCTATGATAAATCTGATTTTGCATTGGCGAGTATTTTTGTTTTTTTGGTAAACCCAACAATATAAAGAGAGTTTTTTTTAGAAAAGCGAAAAATAGAAAGATTAAAAAAAAATCTAAACCAGATCAAAAATGAATCCGAACCAAAATTGAACCAAGCTTTAGCCTTTGCAATGAGCACCGACCGCTCTTAATAACCACCACGAAATCAAAAACGCAATGAATTATCAATTTACCGATTTACCCCTCCATCTCCATTAATACACACTCTGATTTTTTTAGATCTCTCTGCAAAAACCAAATCGAAACAGAGAATCTCTCTCTCTCTCCCTCAGATCAGCAATGGGATCTCTACCACCGTCATCGCTCGACTTCTCATCTTCCGTTCATCAAGATTCCGTTAAAAATGGCGGATCCAGCCATGAGCATCAAGAGATCTCCCATGATAATCTCCTCAATCTCTTCAAATCTCAGCAAGATCTTCTCAATCACTTTTTCAAGCATCTCGATCTCTCCCAAACCCTAGATTTCTCACGCATTCTACTTTCAACCTCCGGTACTGTTTTCTTCACCGGTGTCGGTAAATCCGCCTTCGTCGCTAACAAGGTTTCCCAGACGCTCGTCTCCTTAAGCTTCCGCTCATCTTTCCTCTCTCCTCTCGATGCGCTTCACGGCGACATTGGAGCTCTCTCTTCCCACGACGTTCTCGTTTTCTTCAGCAAATCCGGCGCTACCGAAGAGCTTCTCCGTCTTGTCCCCTGCGCTAAGGCTAAAGGCGCTTTTCTGGTCTCTCTTACGTCTGTTTCTGGGAATCCACTCGCTGGAGTTTGTGATATGAATGTGCATTTGCCGCTTGAGAGAGAATTGTGTCCGTTTAATCTTGCTCCGGTGACTTCTACGGCGATTCAGATGGTGTTCGGTGATACAATCGCCGTTGCGCTCATGGCGGCTAGAAATCTCTCCAAGGAAGAATATGCAGCAAATCATCCCGCCGGTAGGATTGGCAAAAGCTTAATCTTCAAGGTATGCTCTCGAAATTGCTCAAATTGATTGATTCTACATTGGAAAATAGTGATAAATACAAGAATGGGGATGATCAATGTATTGGCTATGTGTAGGTGAAAGATGTTATGAAAAAGAAAGAAGAGCTTCCAGTTTGTAAAGAAGGAGACTTGATAATGGATCAATTAGTGGAGCTAACAAGCAAAGGATGTGGATGTTTACTTGTGGTTGATGAACAATATCGCTTGATCGGTACATTCACTGATGGAGATCTTCGTCGAACTCTTAAGGCAAGTGGAGAAGCAATCTTTAAACTCAGTGTTGGAGAAATGTGCAACAGGTGAGAAACAAAAGGCAAAAAACTCTTGGGTTAGATCATGTAAACAATGGTGTATGTTAAAATGTCTTAGTTTGAATCTTTTGTTGAAAACAGGAAGCCGAGGACGATTGGACCGGAAACAATGGCAGTTGAAGCTATGAAGAAAATGGAGTCACCGCCATCGCCTGTACAGTTTCTACCGGTGGTCAATGAAGATAACACTTTGATCGGAATTGTAACATTGCATGGTTTAGTTTCAGCCGGTCTCTGAACACGAAGCTGCCTCTATAATGTCAGAGTTATACACATAAGTTGATTCTTTTTACATAAACCCAGATCCAGAATATTGGTGTATTGTGATATTCACAACTAGTGAATTGTATTGTGTCTAGTAGTATCCCCATGTATTGTACTCCCTTTTATCATTTTACTCAAAAGGTATGTATAGAGTGTAAGAAGATTCTTGTATCTTTGTCCTCTCTTATCTTTTACTATGATTTTGCCTTCACTCTTGCTTTCATTTATGCCTTAGAGCCACCTGCAACATATTTCCTAGAGTCAGTCACTGCACATAGCACCATGAATGATCTCATTCTATGGTTGCAGATTGTACAGGAAAATGGCAGAAGAAACAGAAGTTTTGTCGATTTATACAGAGCGTCGAGTTATTATGGCTCAAGAAGGTTCAACTCATTCACAGGATCGATACTAGCATGATCATGGTAATGTTATTGTTGGATGTTTGATTCTACATTTCTTGAGTATAGCTGGTGGTGACAACGAAGATCACAGTTTCATCTCCATTAATTCTCATTTGTCACAATGAACACCAGAAACCGATTCTAAAAATCCGAGTTTCGGATTCCAAACCAAACTCAAACACATATGTAAAAAGAAACCATATCCTATTGCATTTTTAACGTATCAATAAAAGGTGTTATAAAGAACAACTTAAGTTGCTAGATAAAGAATGAGGGAGGGAAATAGAGAAAGATGTATGAATGCATTACATAAAAGTCTTTAATAATCTCTATGCAATTGGGGCCGTGTTGTTTTGGTTGTTGTTGCTATTACTGCTGCTTTCATCATTGTTCTCATTCTCACCGGACATTTCCTCGAGAGACTTGCCTTTAGATTCAGGAACCAACAGAGTAAAAACCATCCCCAGAAGATTAACCACACCCAAAACAATGAGCGAGTTCTTGACACCAATGCCTGGAGGGTATCCATGCTCTGTCTTGGTCTTGTCAGGACTTTGTGCTAAGTACAAGAACCCAAACGCACCAACCATTGCCCCTAATTTTCCAGAAGCCGCGGATATTCCATGGCAGGTTGATCTAAACCTAGCCGGGAAGATCTCAGCGGGCACGACGAAAGTTGTTGCATTAGGTCCAAAGTTGGCGAAAAAGAATGTTAATGAGTACATTACCACGAATCCGATTCTGTTTTCCTTGTGAGTCCAATGGTCGTAAGGAATGGCGAGAGCGAACATAAAGACGGTCATGAAGAAGAAACCCATCATTTGTATCGCAAATCTACCAATGACGTCGATGAATGCCACTGTGAACCAGTAACCGGGTACCGTGCTGCACAAGGCGATTAGGGTTTGTGCACGGGCAATCTTGAAAACCTCTTGAATTGCGTTCATAGTCTGAGCCGGAGGGATCCATCCGATCGCACTGAAAATATCTTTTTGGAAAAGGTTCTGGCTATAGAAGGCGATGTCAAGTAGGAACCATGTGCTTGTGGTTCCGAGCAAATGAAGCCCATGGCGTTTCATGAATTCCTTGGAGAACAAGCCAAAGGAATTGGACTTATCTCTAGAGATCTCTTCAACTCTCTCATGCTCTGCTTCAACCTCCATTTGCAAAACCTTAGACATGTTCGAAGCTGCTAGCTTCGCGTCCTTGGCCACAAGAGCCGTATACCTCGCGGTTTCCGGCATCTTTGACCTCGAGTAATACGTCATTGCGGCAGGCAAAGCACCGACCATCAGAATGATCCGCCACACGTAATCCGCCTGAGGAACCGTGGATGCCAAGGCATCAACTTTATAGGCAGGAGCCGGAAACTTAGCCTCGAAAGCCGCAGCCACGATGATCGCAAAGATACCCCCGGTCAAGATTCCAAACCCTTGCATAGCGAAAACGGCGGCTATAAACGCGCCGCGGGTCTTTTTATTGGCGTATTCCGACATAATCGTGGCGGATAACGGATAATCGCCACCGATCCCAAAACCAAGCCAAAACCGGAAGAAACAGAGTGTGGTCATCACCGTTTTCGGGTCACTCCCAAAGGAGAGACCTGAAGCGATTGAGCAAAGGACCATTACCATGAGAGTCATACCGTAAACTTTTTTCCTCCCGAGTTTGTCACCGAGCCAGCCAAAGAAGAGCTGGCCCGCGAGTGTACCACAAAACGCAACACCATTAACCGCGGCTGAGACGTTTGGAGGCAGCGTTCCGGGCTTCTCTGAGCCGTCAACGTGGTAGTAAATGCGGCCAAGGAGTTTAGTGACTAGAGAGATACAGAAAAGGTCGTAGGCGTCGGTGAAGAATCCCATTCCGGCGATTATAATCGCGGTGAAATGATACCATTGCGTTTTTGCAACGTCAAGTGCGTTTAGCACGTTTAGTTGATCTCCGGCCATTGCACTATTTCTCTTCTCTTCTGCGTTAATATTAAGGAAACACATTCAATAAAATAAAATAGATGATACCACGTGATGGTGACACAATAATATATTGATCCAAGTTCATAATTCCGACAAAACAATCATACTTTTACTACACAAAATTTGTAAGAAGACATGATTTTTTTTGTTTCAAATCACAGATTTTGTTTTTCAAAACATATTGTATTACTAATCATTAAAAAAAAAACTGTACTACACATAACATTCCAAAAACTTTATTCATAATCAATTTTATTAGTAATTTTGTTTTTATAATCTTAAATATTACAAGACAATATGGAGACAAAGGAAACAAGAGAACAATAAAGAAACTCTTGCTTAACCTTATTTCTCATTCAAATAACAAATCAAAGAGTATAATAGATTCATAAAACACAAAATTAAATAAGATGAAACTTACAAGAAAGAGTATGATTTTCACTTACTTTCCTGCAAATAAATAAACTTTTGTGGGATTTTTCTTAGAGAAAAAAGATTATTATTTTTTTTCGTTTTAAATCAGAAAACTGTAGAGAGAAAAGGAATTAGAATGTGTTGTGAAATGAAGTTAGAGACGGCTTCGGAAACGGCTACTTATACGTGA